CGGAATCGGAAGATGAACTCGACCGACTGGCCTACGAGAGAGAGGATTAAAGCTTGCTCACGGCAGTCAGAAAGGGAAAACGTGCTGCCATTGGACGAAGAAGGGGAGAGAGGATCGCGAGTCGGGTAGGGAGCTGACGGATGAGCTTGGCAAGCGCCAGAGTTGGGAGACAAACAGTCGCGAAGGGCTAGCAGGCTCTGCCGCGACGACACCAAGGAGATCCAGGGAGAGCAAGAACGGGGCGGCGATTGGATGAAGTAAAAGAAGGAAAGGATTGAAGTGTGAGTCGTGGGCAACCGGGCGGAGCTCGATCATCGCGGGAGCAAAAGGGGGCAGGAGGATGAGCTGGGGATAGCCGAAAGGAAGGGAGGGAAAGTTCAGAACTTCCTGGCTCCGATCGCCGGGAAATCTTTGAAAGTTTCGACATAAGGACCGAAGGGAAAGCAAAAATTTGACGTCGCGACTGAAAGGAAGAAGGGAGGGGGCAAAGCAGTCGGGAGGGAAGATTAACGAAGAGGGAGGCAGAAGGGACGACGAATATAAAAAGGAAGGATGCGGCCCGAAGCACACGAGGGGGGGGCGTACGGGAAAGAGAACGGAGGCGCACTAGCGTTCGTTTGCGGCCGAAGAGTTGCGCTAGTGTTCGCGCCGGGCAGCGAGAGGAGAGAGAGACTCATGGCACTGACGAACGGGGAAGCAGTGCGCGCACGCAGGCGTACGAGATTGGGACCTGCGCTCGATCTATCCCAGGCAGTAGGGCTCCCACGTGGCCGCGCTGAGTCGTGAGCGCACAGATAGGGAGGCAGAGCAAGATAGCGCCCATCTTGTGACGTACGCCCGAAGGTTCGGAAGAAGGAGAGCAGGGAGGGAGAGAGAGGATAGGTAAAAGGAGAGGAGAAGAGAGGAGGAAGGAAGGGGAGCTCGACATCGATGCAAGAGGCGTTCGGAACCGGCGCACGAGAGTAGTGCTCGCAGCGGCACTTGGGAGGGTATCAGCCAGCACACGCATCGCCCGGCGGCGAGCTCCGCTTAGCGCGTGAGAAGGAGAGGGAGTGAGAGCACGGGAAAGAGTGGTCAACTCCTGCGCATCAAGTACCCTACTTAGACTTGGTGTTCGGGAGGCGGAGAGAGAAGGAAGGAGGTGGAGGAGGGAATGCTTCGGCCCTTAGAGTGATCGAGGAGGGCGGAGCGAACGTCAGAGCGAGTGTCAGAGGCTACGCGCGGAGTGCCAACTAGCTGCGGAGCAGCGCAAGACGTCTGGATGCAGGAGCGAGGCAGCGCACGTTTACGCGATACGGGTGTGTT